ATCTTCTTGTCCATATATTTGTCACCTGGATATGTCTGACACCTAGCAGTTAAGGTGGCTAATGAAACAAACCTGAAAGACTGTCGGCACAATGCTCTGTAACCATGTGTCTCAAGCCTTCTTGAGGCAGTTTGCAGGTTTTCTTACCAACTTTCCTGCAAGCTCCAGAATTAAGGCCTGTGTGGCTGCTGGAAGCTGGCTGAGAGTTCACTGCTCTTATGCTGGGTGGGCGCGGCAGGGCCTTGTGTTTGGGTGAAGGACATCTGAGCTCACAGTGTAAATGGACATCACCTGCCTGCTTATCTCAGATAAGCATAGAACCTAGTCCAGAAACTGACTCTAAGGCTACCCCCACCCCAGCTGTAGAGGCTTTTGTGGAGCCCCCTGGGGCCTCTCTGGCATCTTATCCCTGGCTCGAACTTCTGGGCGTGGGTGTGGTGGAGGCCCTGGTGGGGTCCTTGGTCTGTCAGAGCCCCTGGCAGCTCTGAATCTTGCTCAGAACACAGCTTATGGGCAGTTCAGATAAGTATCCCCTGTGCTGTGGCCTTCCAGGCATTCCAGCAGCTTCTTTACCCACCACTCAGCCTTCCCCTGCTCTTCAGGGTCCTCCTCCTACAGTCCCTAGCTCCGAAGTGTTCTCCAGCCTCACAGTTATGGCTTTGTCCAGGCACAGTGACACCTCAATCTCTAACTGAGGTGACATGTGTCCCCAACCAACTACTGAGTGTTCAGGCCACCCTGAAACCTAACGAGTCACAACCCTGCTCCTTGCTCCCGACGCGTTGGACCATTCCTGGTTCTCCACTGCTGTCAGCAACATCACCACCAACTAGCCAACAGATGGCCCAGTCAGCCCTTCACCATGTCCCTACACATCACCTGGGATCTGACCCTCCATGACCTGGTCCAGATTTCCCACCACAAACCTGGACTGCGCACCATCGGCAGGCCTCTTGACCTTTACACCCTCCACCTTCATCCTGTCATCTCCCAACGGGCAAGAGTCACCACTCCTTAAGGCTACGGTCAGCCCACAGGACACTCCCAGCTTGCATACGTCCAGCTCTTGAACTGAGAATGGGTTTTACTTTGTCATATGGTTGGGGTGGAGGGCAGGAGAATCAAAAGAAGAAGACTATTTCATAACAAGTGACAATGATATGAAATTCAGATGTTAGTATCCATAAATAGGCTTTATTGGAACACAGCCATGTTCATTTCTTTACGTACTGTCTGTGGTTACTCTCGAGCTGCAATGGCAGAGTTGAGTAGCTGCGATAGAGACCTATGGACCACAAAGCCTAAGCATTTACTCTCAGGTTTTTGGCAGAAAGTGTTTTGGCCTCTGCTTTCAGGCATTTATTTTAACAAATTGAGTACTGCTGCAGGCCAGGCTTGGGGTCAGGTACAGCTGGGAATATAGGGCAAGGTTCTGTGCCTCCAGAGCTAATAGGCTGGAAAGCAGGATGAGGATGCTGGGGGATGTGGCAGAAGGTGGGTACCGTGTGTGGTGGAGACATGTGCTGCTGGCGGAGCTCAAGGGAAGAGTTTGGGCAGGTTTGAACAGGATTCTGGGAGTCCCACTTGACACTTCAGGAGGGGTGGGTAGGGCTGGGGGTGATTCAGATGAGGAGAATGAGCGTGTCCAATGGCAAGGAGCCAGGAAGTCCCCAATCTGTTTAGGGGTCCTGAGAAGATGACTTTGAGATCAGAAGTATAGCAAAATGGTGGCATTTTGTATAAAAGAGCAAACTTTTTTAAGCACATAATAATTAAAATACAGAAATGAAGGCAGTAGGAGGAGCAGGTAGGGAAGGAGAGGCAGAGAGGGGATGAGTTCAAGACCCACCCGCAAGGTCACCCGAGGACCCAAGCTGAGAGTGACGTCGGGATTCTGGACAGTCTTGGGGAACTCAGCCCAGAGATGTTTAGTGACAGGGTGGGGAGGACAGCTTCTCAGAGAGTGAAGGAGCAAGCAGGAAGGGAAGACAGAACAGCCAGCAGTCCCTCAGATGTGACAGAGGAAGGAAGGAAGAGAAATAACACCATGAACCTGGCCCCCCAATTAGGGCCGGACAGAACCTTCCAGACCTGCCCCTCCCCCAGCATTCACAGATGCTTTGTCACCTTGATATATGTCTGACTACGTACTCTACTTGACAGAACTTAACAACAACATATAAAAAATAGAGGTATCCACAAGACAAAGGGCCTTATCTCCTCCCACGTAGTTGAAGTCCAGAGATAACAGGGCTGCTGTGAGGTTCCTTGTGGTTGGTGGGGGGTGCTCACTCTCTGCCCGTCTTTGTCTTTGCTGTTCTGAGTGTGTGATGCCCATCTTCCAGGCATCTCGTGGTCCATAGAGGCCTCTGGAAAACGAAGGAGGGGAACAGACACAAAGAGGGCTCCTCCCAGCTGAGTGACCTTCTTTTCCCATCTTCTCTGAATGTCCAATCCAGCCACTTCCTCTAAAGTCCCATCAGCCACTTCTGCCTGCATGGGAGGCTGGAAGAGCTGCCCTTTTAACTGGGCGCGGTGCCATCCTGGATCCAATTGGGGCTCTGTGACTGGGGAGGGAGGGGAAAACAGACACTGTGGAGCCACAAAGGGGCGTTTGTCCTCTTTGTCCCGTACTTAATGGGTATCCATCTCATATGGGTTGACTTTTCCTTAGGTGGCCAGAGCCCGTCTGTCCATCTGGTTGTGTGATCAGTTACCTACCCAGAAACCCCCAGGGATTCCCATTCAACACCGCCATTATTGGCATCATCAAAAAAGACTCAAGTTCCTGTTAGTGAGCAGTACAACACTGGGTGGGTTAATAATGACACAGTAATAATAGTAATTGCTGCTATCATTTACTCAGGACTTATTACAGGCCAGGCATAGTTCTGTGGGCTCTGAATAAGCTTTGCACAGCTTCATGCTCACAGCAGCCCTGTGAAAGGTAAGGCAACTGGCCCAGAGTCCCACAGGACTCAAGCCTCCACCTGCCTGACTCCGGAGGCTGTACTCTATACTCCTAGGAGCCTTCCACACTTCAGGACAATGAGGTAGCAGAGGAAAACAGCTCTTATGTGAAGACATGAGTCCATTGGGCTAAGATCAGAGGAATATTGACCTGGAGGCTGAGATGCAGTCAAAAGACACAGGGCTGCTTTGGAGAAGAGTGAGGGCAGGACTGAGCCTAGAGGACAAAGGACGGGGGAATAGAGATGGTGAGGTGAGGGTGAGAAGGATCAGGCAAGGGGAGCTGAGGCCAAGGAGATGGCTGGAAGGTCCTGACAAAGGCTCCAAAACTGACAGGAATGCTTCAAGTAACCAGCTGACCACCCATCATCCATCCATCCACCCAGTCTGAGCCATGACTTACTGTGAGGATCTCCTGAAGGTAGTCCAGGTGGGAGTGAACTGGAGCAGGAAGCCCAAGATTGCCCCCTGTAAATGCTTGGTTCCTTCACCTCCATGAGAACTGGATCCACAGACATAAACCCATATGGTTTGCCAGGTATTTCTGCCAATGCTCCCTCATGGGATCCTCCCAACAGCTGCAGCTGCCATCCACCCATTCTATAAATAAGGAAGCTTAAGAAATAAGAGGTGAAACTGGGACTAGAACCTAGACATCTTGACCCTGGGTCCTGTGCTCTCTAGACTGAAACCCCGTCTACCCATCAGGAGACTTTCAAGAGAACACTCTTTAACTAGCCTGGCCCAGCACTGGTACATGTGGCTGCTAGAGTCTTTGACTCTGTGTTTATCCTTTTTCTGCATTAGACTGTGTGCTCTAGGTGACATTTGGTTCCTTCTGACCACTTGACTCTATACAATGGATGCTCAAGAAGTATTGACCTTGATTTTTAAGACCTTGACTTTCCAAGCCTTGGAATACTTGCCAAGACAGATCTATCCCTGGTGGCCAGGATGCCACAGGGGGAGGGACAGTTCACTCCTTGCATGCGAAGGAAACAGATTTCATTAAGCCAACAAATCCACCTTACCAATGATGTGGATGGTAGAAAGTGTGGATGTCAACATTGGAGTTCTGAACGTAGTTTTCTTGTAGACAACCACAGCTGATGTTTCAAATAGGACTCATGGCTTATTTCTCAATCCTGGGAGATCTCACTATGAAAGGAATCGAGTGAAGTCCAAGTGCCCATTTAGCAGTAGGCAGTGGACCTGCCCTGAGCAGATTCCTTCTCAGAGGAAGGAGTTGGATCACTGAGTGTCTTTCCAAGTGTCTGTCTGTCACTAATGAGGGCCTAAGATCTGGGATTAAAATCTCCAATAAGGAAAGACAGAGCAGCAGGTTCCAGTGTGGCTGAATTTGCAGTTCTCTGCTCCTGGTGGTCAATGTAACAGCCTCTCTCTGGTTTAGAACCGCTAGCCGATTCAAAGGCAATTTCTCTTCTTACCCAGGAGCAAACACACAGCCCCTGCATCTTAGCCTGATGGTCCTGGTGTGGAGGCACATCTGTTGGGTGGGAACGTAGTCCATCCCCTTTGTGGTCATTTCATCCATCCGGCTCCGCAATGGGTCATTTTCAACTCCAAAAGACTTTGCTTCCCGAGTTCCTCCTGAGGCTGAAAGGAGGGGTGGGGAGAGGCAGTCATTCTGAGGGGCTCACTGTGTATGTTCCAGACTCTCCCCTGCAGACCTCCACCGATGATGGAGCTGAGGAACCAGGCTCAGAGACCTCTGCTAAGAGTACGCCGACGGCCGAAGGTGGGGCCTCCCTCCTCACATTGCTTCACTCAAACAGCACCCTCATGTCTCCAGCCTGTGCTTAGCTGCGCTTTGAGCCCATACATGCCACCCTACATGGCTGCGTTTGCTGCTGCCTCCTGCTCTGGCCAAGAGATGTGCTTGCTCTGCTTTGCAGGCTGGGGGTCAGGTCCCAGGGTGTTGCAGGGACCCAGCCCATCTTTCATGCCACGCTCATGGAGCCGGGGGAAGGGGGGTGGGGAGCACCCTCTATGTGTCTGTGTTCTAGAGGCAGCCATCCCTGGAGAGGCTGGGATTGATGGCAGAGCAGGCCCCAAGCACAGTTCCACTAAGCCCCCATCATCCTTCCGGAATGCCATCAGGAGCCCTCCAGCTCTTCCTTCATGTGCCCCCACATCTCAGAGCAGCATTTTGACTGAGGGAAGGGACAGGTCTGTGCGTGTGTCCAAGCCTACACCCTCAGAGCAGTTTTGTTATTTTTTCATTTCTGACCTCTGAGCTTGGCCTGGGCCTGTGGACTTTGATCATGGTGTTTGTTCAACCCTTCTTCCAACCTGCCCTCTCCAGACATTTGGTGTCCCGAGCATTAAAAATCTCCTCAGGTGTTTCCTAAAGTATTTTTGGTCCTGATTTTGACTACTTTCCTTTGTTTCCGTCTTCCCAAGACTGAGTTTGGCTGCAGGTAACAAAAACCCAGCCGACTGGCATATGTTTAAGGAGAGTTGTCTCACACAGTCAGATAACTGGACCTAATAGCTCCCAGGGTCACTGATGCCTTTCTGTTGTCGTCTTCTACCATCTTAGTTGGATTTTTTCACTCATGGCTCCAAAATGACTGCTGCACTTCCAGACATCACATCTACCTTTCAAGAAGGAAGAAAGTAGCAAAGGAAAGTGATCAAAATGACCCTGATAACCAATATGTTCCCGCCCCCTTTTTTCGGAAAGCAAGGCTTTCTAGCCAGACTTTCACTTCTGTCTTATTGGCCAGAAGTAGCTACAAGGAAGGCTGACACAAAGCATATTGCTTTCTAACCTCTTCCGTAGAAGAAATCAAGTAAGAAATTGAAAATGGCTTTTTAAATAGCTCTGGTGGCACACTGAAGGATAAGCACTGGATTGCTAAGTGCAAGGTTGACAGTTCAAACCCACCAGCTGCTCTGTAGGAGAAGTATGAGACTTTCTGCTCCTATAAAGATGTACAACCTTGGAAACCCTATACAGAGTCGCTATGGGTTGGAACTGACTTGATGGCAGGGAGATTTTTTGAGTTTGAGTACCCAGTCTGCTGTATCTGTCCCTCCTCCCCATCAGGGTCCAAGGTTCCATTCTCAGCACTTCCCAAGGCCCTGCCTGTTACTTTGCGAGCTGTGTCCTGGGGTGAGAACCTGACTCCAGCATTTCCTCAAGTTTCTGTTTATGCAGCCAGTCACTTGGTAGAGTGGAGGACGTGCCTCTCACCCTGAGGTTCTTAGCTTGGTGAGGAGAATATCAGGTCAAATTCTGCTCGCCTTCTTAGAGCAGGAGATGCAAGGCATTTCCTGCTGATATCAAGACAGTTTTGCAAGTTGCCTACCACTCTGAGAAAGTCTTGAAACCCTGCTTCCAGATCTTGTGCCTGCCTCCCCAATCAGAGTTTTCAGCATTATTCTGGAAGAAGAATCTTCCAATCAAGTCTTCCCACACTCACCACACTGCAGACCACAGATATTGGAGAGCATTGCTCCCACCCCACAGGGAAGGACCCTCCTGGATTGGGCTTTGCTCCACCTGCACCTGAGGTGACCTTAATTAAGATGGACGTGACTTAACTGACTTAGGCTATTGGAAGGGTGTCCAAGCTGACAATTGCTATGTTTGCCAGGAGCAGTCTGGGTGCGTGCCAGGGTATGGCTCAGGGAGCAGTGCTGACTTGGAGGTGTTCACCTGGAGAGAGGTTGGCAGTAACTTCTGGTGGGAGATCTTCACCTTCCTGCCTGCACTGTGAAGGCAGACCCATCTGCAGGCCTGGCGCCAAGTGCCCGACGCTGGACAAGACAGGGCCTGCCCATTGCCACGCAGGGGGCTCTGTTTCTGAGTCATAGGCCATGGGTTCAGGATGAGATGAGTGTCCAAGCTGGAAGAAACCTTGGAGGTGACACTCCCATTATGCAGATGAGGGAACTGAGGCTTAGAGAGGCCAAAGGACTTGCCAGAAGGCAGACAGTAAAGCCTAGGCTCCCCTCGCTAGCCCACTTCCTGTACTGCCCTAGGGCCAAGTCTGCCCTCTTGTTGTGAGGTGCTATCATGTCCTTCAAGCCAGTAGTGACTCTAGGGACCTTATGCACAACAGAATGAAACACTCTAGGCTCTTGCTGGGCCTGAAAACCTAACAGATGTGTGTGGTCAACTGCTTTTCCATCTCTCTTATGTAAACATCCTGGGGCCCATCCTCAGCAGTCTTCTCTGGTCCCCAGCTTTCCTGGCGGATGGGCTGGGCACTTTGTGAGCCAGTGCCGCTCAAATCAAGTATTGATGCGTGGCACTATGGGATAAACACTGGACTGTAAGGATAAGCACTGGACCGTAAGGTCGGTTTGAACCACAAGGCGGCAGTTCAAATCCATCAGCTGCTCCTTAGAAACCCTCTACAGAGTCGCCGTGAGTCGGAACTGACTTAGCGGCACTTAACAACAACCAGGGAGGTATCAGGCAGGTCAGGCTTGGAGCCCTGCTTTGTGGGGTTGCTTTTTGGCATGCGGCTGAGTCCCCTCCTTCTCCCCCTCTCCCCCACTGCTCTGCACAAGAAGCAAAGGTGAGGGGCTTGGTGTGGCTTATCTCAGCCCCTCTAAGGTGTTTCTTGGCGGTTTCCAGACGTGACAACGCCCCTAGTGGATGAGAGAGCATCAGGCAAGCAGCCCCACACGGAGATCCCAGAAGGAACCACAGGTGAGGGTGACTCCCCAGGAGAGCTGTGGGCCCAAGGGCTCCTCTGTTGATGGTGGAGGCCCTGCTGGGTGCCCTGGCTGCCAGGGATGTGAGAAGGGATTATCCAAGTCTCCAAGTGAGGCAGGAATGTGGGCGGGACCCAACTCAGGTTGTGAGGAGCTTTGTCTACTGATGGTTCTGTGACCCAACGGGCCTCCTGAAGCCAGGAGCTCTAGGGGTGTAGTGAATGAAACGTTGGGCTGCTAACCACAGGGTCTGTGGTTCAAAACCACCAGCTGCCCCAAGGGCAACAATTTCCAGTGTTGGAAACCCTAGTCAGAATTGAGATGGAGTGGGATTGAGATTCTCTGCAAAGTCTGAGGTTCAAACCTACCAGCTGCTCTGTGGGAGAAAGATGAAGCTATCTGTTCCCACAAAGATTTACAGTCTTGGAAACCCTAAGGAATAGTTCTACCTTGCCCTATAAGGCCACTATAAGTCAGAATAGACTTGATGGTAGTTGTTGTTGTTGTTAAGTGCCGTCGAGTCGGTTCTGACCCATAGCAACCCTGTATAGGGTTTCCAAAGAACGACTGGTGAACTTGAACCTCCAATCTTACAGTTCAAATGACTTTGCAGTCTGGTGCATTAATCCACAGTGCTTTGATTTCTTTTGGCTTCTCCTCTCCTCTCGGTCAGAACATGAGTTCCGGAGGTCTCTGTTCTCTGAGGAAGACTGGTGGCAGACCCCTGTTATCTTCACACCTAAGATCAGTCCACCCTTCTGCTCAGACTCTGCCTCCCGGGGGCCGGGGGGTGGTCAGTTTCCCTAGGAGCACCTGAGCAGGCTGCAGGGTCCAGGGACTGAGCACGCCTTCTGAGGATATTAAGTGTCCCTCTAACTCTACTGAGGAGTCCTGGTGGCATTGTAGGATAAGCACTGGACTGCTAACTTCCAGGTCAGCTATCCATATCCGCAGCCACTCCATGGGAAAAAGAGTAGACTGTCTGCTCCCATAAAGATCTGCAATCTCAGAAAGCCTATATAGAGTCGGTATAAATTGGAATGGACTCGATGGCAGTGGGCTTACTTTGTTTTTCTATCTTTATTACATAGAACTGTTTGTAGCCTAGCATTCTTTTTTGGGATTGTGTCACTTTTGCAAATAGATCTGTATAAAGCAGGTGCAACAAGACTGTTCCGGCAACACAGATGGTGAGGAATGGTCCAATGGGGCCACTGGTCTCAGGACTGCCAGATTCCCTCCAGAGCTGCCCAGCCTGGGCCGAGGATGCCAGACACAGGTCTTTGAAGGAGTGGCCAGTACCAACTAGTGTTCTCACTGTCACTCCCTGAATGTCCCCTCTCCTGGGCCCGTGTAAATGTTCCAGCGTTGACGTGGTGATTCAAAAAGTGCCCGAAATGTAGAAGAGGTCTTGACAGAATTTCACCAGCACCGGAGAGGAGGAAGTTATCCTGGCTCAGGAGTTTATCTTTCTGCCCTAAAAACACATGCTCAGTTGGGAAGCCTGCAGCATTTTCTGTGCTGAGGATACAGAGGGCTAAGCAGCACCACCTCCAACTCCTTCCAAGTCCATTTCTACTTGTTGAGATGGCAATGAATACTGTCTTCTGAGATGGATGGAGGAGGATGTTCTTGACACCTGGCAGGGCCTCCCCTGGAGCCTGAAGAGCACTTAAGGCTGTGGAATGGACTCATAGGGGTGAGAGCATGAGTCCCTTTATTTTTGTCTCCCACTGTCCCTTTATAATTTATCCAGTGGTGGAAAGCCTTCTGCCTAGGCTAATTCTGGACTTTATGGTGACTCCTCAGTTACCTTTAGTCTTCATAAGTCACAAAGCACAGTCTGAAAATGCTCATTAGAATGTGCAGCCCCATGAAGCAGTGGAACTCCTAACCCCTCCCCTTCAGGCTGGGGGTGGGCAACTGGAACGCTCCCATGAATCCACACTGCTGGGAGTTCATAGTCTCCGCACTTAGTTACTAAGTTTAAAGTTGACTCTTTGTCTCCGAGGAACTGTTTGTGAATTCTTCCAGACTCTTTCTCCAACTCCATCACCATCTCTAGTGATCCTCACCAGAAGGTCCGTTCATCTGCACTTATTCCAGCAGAAATGCATTCTCTTTTTAGCCCCTGGAGATCTACCTCCATCTTCAACTTGGTTGTGGTCAGCTTGTTCCTGTTTGTGCCGCATGATCTCAGGTGGCCCGAGGCTTTCCCTTGGGAAACGTGTGGGCATTCTTTGCCCAGATAAACTTTGGTCCCTTGACCAGTTGCTGGGCTGCAGGATTCCTTTTCCTCTGCCACGGACTCTTACCCTCTAGTTTTTCCAGGTAGGATTCTGACAGCAGTCTTCCATGTCACACCCTCACCATGCTGTTGTTGTCAGGTGCCATCGAGTCGGAAC